GTGAACACTAAGGGAGGAATAAGGTCTGTTAATCAGTTGAAATGTTGCAAGTGATTCCTAATAGCCTGGAGAAAGGGCTGGAGAATCCTGGAAGCAAATGGTGCATAATTTTGATGGGTATAGACGAGGGAATTCCTGATTCCTCAAAGTTAAGAGGAAGCAAAGCATCTCCAAGGCAAACAGTTGTTCTAGGGAATTGTGAGGTTGACAGTACCTACTGTGTGTGGCATTCCTATTGGAATGTGTAACCTCTTACAAATGAAAACGTTTCCATGATATGAAAAGTAGCATGTTTAGGCAAAGGAAATCAGAGAATAGGAAACAAACTCTGAACAAAACTCTCCAAAGGGAGAAGTTGCCATTGAGTCTGTTCTCCTAACATTGTTTTATTTGTTTGGCTAAAATCCAGTTTTTAGTTGGGAAGATGAAGGTTGAAGTGATAATGATGAAGGTGTAGTTAGGAGTGGAGCATCCCTCAGATGAAGAAGTGTTACCATGACCCACGTGAGGCTAACACAGGGAATGGAAGTGATTTGTTGTGAAATTCCTGTGTTGCTCTTAAATTTGGCTTCCTAGTAGGGCCGGAAGGTTAGCAGAACTTATTTTCCTCTCATCACCATACTTATGGAACCCACTCACAACTCTTTTACAAATCTGGCTTCCGGCCTGGGGAGGGAGAAGTGGGCTAAAATGGATTATGTAATGCTCACTTAGAATTGTTGGGGGAAGAATGTGTGCATGACTGAGTAATGCAACTCCCTCTGTCTCTTTACATGTGCTCTTACACATTTTTATTCTGAATGAAACTCTGGAGAGAGTGAAGTGAAATGGAGAGTCAAGGAGACCTGGGGAGTGGTGTAGATAGCAGAAATTCTTCCTTCTCTCCCACGGAGATACCAGTATCTGTGGGCGAAAAAGATTGACAGCCAGGAACAAAGAGAACTTTTATATTGTCCTCCGCAGAAAGCACTGAAATTGAGTTTTTGAATCAGCTGAGCCATTTTACCCCATACTTTTCATTTCAGGACATTCAGTTCAGTTCAGTTCAGTCGCTCAGTCGTGTCCGACTCTTTGCGACCCCATGAATTGCAGCATGCCAGGCCTCCCTGTCCATCACCAACTCCCGGAGCTTACTCAAACTCATGCTCATCGAGTCAGTGATGGCATCCAGCCATCTCATCCTCTGTCGTCCACTTCTCCTCCTGCCCCCAATCCCTCCCAGCCTCAGGGTCTTTTCCAATGAGTCAACTCTTCGCATGAGGTGGCCAGAATACTGGAGTTTCAGCTTCAGCATCAGTCCTTCCAATGAACACCCAGGACTGATCTCCTTTAGGATGGACTGATTGGATCTCCTTGCAGTCCAAGGGACTCTCAAGAGTCTTTTCCAACACCACAGTTCAATTTTTCAGCACTCAGCTTTCTTCACAGTCCAACTCTCACATCCATACACATGACCACTGGAAAAACCATAGCCTTGACTAGATGGACCTTTGTTGGCAAAGACGTTATGTCCCTACAAAATTGCCCTACTTAGTTGGATTTTTTTTAACATTTAGGGAGAATTATAACAAGAACAGTTTTATGTAAGATTTGTCTACTCAGATTTTTACTGACAATAAAAAAATTCCTAAATCTTTAACTTGCCTTGTGTTCTTAAAATACTTGAAAAACACTGAAGGCAGAGGAAAACCATTATAAATATGAGTTCACACAATTACACTTGCTTCTATGAGTTTTCTAATTAAATCAAAATTTTAGTTTTATCTAGAGGAAGATAGATTAAAGAAAGAAGGGTGCAGTGGAAGACCAAAAAAAGAGAGAGGGAGACAGGAGAGAGGAAGACAAGACAGAGGAAGAAACCAGCCCTTTATTGAGCACCCAGTATGATCCGAAACAGTGTTAGGTGCTTGGATTAAGCATTCTCTTTCTTGCATATTTAATCCTCACAGGACGCTTTGGACTCTGCTTTATTTTTGGAGGAGAATGCAATATATTCAGCTCTATTATATTTGACATTTATGGCAAGACATAGACAGTGGAAAGTACAATAAACCCACAGAAATTGAAACAAACATTGCCCTATAGGAATTTTCTCTCAAAGGCTTGTTTTTGATCCATAACCATTGGGTTTTGTGGCACTAGATGTGGCTCTAGTCTTGGAAAGGACAAGCTCTCTAGATTGATCCTTCTCCATAAATTGAAACAAACATTGCCCTATAGGAATTTTCTCTCAAAGGCTTGTTTTGATCCATAACCATGGGTTTTGTGGCACTAGATGTGGCTCTAGTCTTGGAAAGGACAAGCTCTCTAGATTGATCCTTCTCCATATTCAGTGATGAGTTTGGCTCTTTGCAATTAAGTGCAGGGTTCTGTCTGCTTCAGGAACATGGTGATGTTCATGTGTAGTCCTGTTACCAGAAGCAAGCCTGATTGAAGGTTTTCCTGGATGATGTTCTTCAGGTAGGTAAAAAAGAAAAGGGTCTGTTGCCCTTTAACCCTGATTTGAAAGTGATTGAAGAAGAGTTTGAAATGAAAAGAAAAATTGAAGCCATTTGCTACATAATTGTAGGAGACACTTTATGATGATTTCTGTACATTTAGTGTTTAAAGACGGAATGAAACATGGACTATCATAGCACCTGTTTTCTCGTAGCTTGAAATTACTCTGCTCTCTTTATATCACTTGCTTGGTTAAATTTGTGACTTTCTCTTGATATCTTAAACCATTCCACTCTTCGTAAGAAGTTTTAATGTTAAATAGCTGCTGCTGCTGCTGCTGCTAAGTCACTTCAGTCGTGTCCAACTCTGTGCGACCCCATAGACGGCAGCCCACAAAGCTTCCTCATCCCTGGGATTCTCCAGCCAAGAACACTGGAGTGGTCTGCAAGATAGTTTTAGCTCGCAATTAATTACTTATAATAAAGCAGTCTGTATTCTCTGAAAATTAGCACTCTCTTCATTTCCTGTGAATAGTTATTAAATGAACCTAGAAGATTAATAGGTAATCAAAATCAGTAACAGATTCACTAAGACACAAAATTCTGTGTATTCTTTACTATCTTCGTTATGTTATGTCTTCATTGACACATTTATTTTGGGGCAACTTGCATTTGCTGTGGCACGTACCTCTGGTCACTTTCTCATAGGACTGGAGGGTAGCAAAAGGAGGGATGGGGGACAGAGAGGATGGAAAATGAGATTAGAAAAAGTGGATAAAATGAGACATGGTAGTGTTTTTAATGGCTAAATCTGAAATTACTTCTTTTTCTTGGCTGAATTAGTCACAGTAGTGTGCCAAAGAAGTAGGTAAGAATGATCGAAGTATCTGTAACAAATTTTTTGAGAGAAGAATAACCATATAGCTCCTAACATTATTAGGGTGTTTTTTGAGGGTGGAGCCCTGCATATAGCACTGATATTCTTTGACCCTTATTAGTCAGTTATAATTCGTTAATAGATTGCAGCTCAAAAGTGTATGTTTGGCACCGTTTAGCACATGATATGCATTTTTAGGACAGCCTGACAAAAAAATAAAAATGTCTTCAATGTTTATATTTGGGATATGAAATATGCGGCCTTCTATGACTGCAGACTGGGGCTTACTGCCTGGTTTTGTGGGCTTCTGGGCTTCATTTGACAATGCTAGCACCCAGGCAGCTATGACTCTTGAGAATTAGCTTAAAAGTAGCATCATCTGCCACCTGGTAAGTTAAGGCACTTTGGTCGTGGCCTAAAAAGTTGAAGAGTTAAAGACTTCTTATGGGCGTGATTATCTTAGATGGAGATTTGAACATTTTAAATGTGCTTTTCTACCCATTAAAAATGTATCTGGCTTTACTAACAAAAATACTTTCAGTGGAAGTCAGCACAAGGTGTTTTTTTTTTAAACAAGAAATAGAGGAAATTTTATCCTTCTCAAATCTCTTTTTATTCATGTCATTTAATCTTTATAATAGCCCTGTGGACATCCTCCATTCTAATGTAAGTAAATAAATCTCAGAAATTTTAGGTGAGTTATAAAAGAGTTACCAATCAGGTATTTTAAAGTGCATCTTAAAATCCTGAGTACACATGCCCTAAATGCTAGAAATCTAATTATTTCAGTCAGTGCTTAGTATGATTGAAGATTTCCCTGCAAAGTGATCAAAACATTTTCTTCAATACTCTAAATTCAGTATCAGAACATGCATTCTGATATCTAGTCTATTAGAAGGAAAAAAGAGCATGGATAAATTCTAACATGGTTTTCAGAATAATTTTGCTGCTTTAATATTTTATTTGATGAAATAAAATAATGACAATATTTTTCCATGCTTTAGTTTAGTTTCTTGCTGATACCATCAGTCCCAGATTGACTACCAACATTGAGGTCTTATTTGCCACAAGATTTAATTCTTCAGTATAAAATGAAGACTGTAGCGCAGTACTGTCTCAGGACTTTAAATATCATAAAATTATATAATCTGGTTGCATCAGAACAGAAGGAGTAATTCTACTGCAGAAGAATCTACCACAGTTGTGTAGCTGTGACTATCCAGTTGAATTTCATACTTCCACTCTTAAATATCCATGAAAAATTCTATCTTTAGATTAGACAGTTAGTTTAAGGAATACTTATATCTCACACATGCATTTAACCATCCTGTCCACTGTAATTCTGCTGTCTGGTTTCAGAAAGAGGAAGGAAAAAACCCTGGACAATACTTTTTTTTGTTTGTTTTTGATTGTGCTATTCTCTTCTTAAGCATATATTTTTGTCATCTCTTCTTTTGAGTCCAATTTTCCTTTGGTTTGTTTATGTCAATGGCTCTTGACAATCTGATAAAATGTTTCCAGAAAGCACATGGATTTGGAACTCTCTCTTGTTATGTTTATATTAGGCTTTGTTTTAAAGGCAAGTGAGACTGCTTCAAATAAAACAACTCCAAGCTTCCAAGAAACAGTTAAGAGAAGGCAGAGACGAGCAGAAACACCCCTTCACTAACACTCACACGGTTGCCATGGAGCTGCATAAGCGGTGGGAGAACTCAGAGACTAACTGGCACAAAGAGAAAATGGAATTACTGGACCAGTTTGACAATGAAAGAAAGGAATGGGAAAGTCAATGGAAGATAATGCAGAAGAAGATAGAAGAGGTACATGTTGATTTGTTTGAATCCTTTGGAAACTTAAAACTCAGAATGAAAATCCTTTTTGGTTTGTATTGGAAACTGTTTTTACTTTCCAATTCCACCTAAAAGATACATGTCTCAGTGATATTTACTAGACCGAAAAAAGCATAACCTAACAAATTGGTAGTGTAGAGACTATACTTATTTTATAACTTTGCATGAAAACTCTAAAATCTGTCAATTTACTCTTTCTTTACCAAAATGCTGATGGTATCAAAAGTGAGGTATGTATTTTGCATGAGTTTTCAAATGCCGAGCCCAGTGTGAAAATAAAAGAAAACCATAATTAGTGGAACATACCTTTGGAGTATTACAATTGGGCATTAAAATAGATCTTTTCTAAGATAATGTATGAATAATGTCTCCTAAACGAAATTATGTACTCGATAATTCCTTTTGTATAACCAAAAGGAGTGTCGTATATCAAAAAGAAAATGACAGTGGACATGATATTTATCTTGGCAAGGTGCACCACATTTACTGGGATATTTATTAGAAAAGAGTTTATGAAAAATGACATGCCCAGAATCTGATACAAATAGTAATTTTATCCCTTCAGCCTGTTGGACCTTGAATATTTCCTTAATTATCTGCACTGATATATATTCAGGCTTGTTCCAGCTGAAAATTATTTATACTTATCTTGCTTTCTTGTAACATCCCTGCTGTTGATTTACATGGTTTGTGCATATTGCCAAGGCAGTTATTTTAACAGATTCCTTGGCCTTCATTCACAGGCAATCAAAGCTAATTCTTTGTGTGTTTATAGTGCAAATATTTTTCTTATTAACAGCCATGTAATTGATTATGAATAAAATACAAATTGGCATGTTAAAAGGAAAACTAAGAAAATAATAGCCATTAACCCATTAGAGAATTCCATGGACAGACCATGGGGTCGCAAAGAGTCGTGACTAACACATAGTCATTAGACTGTTCTTGTAAAATCCAACTGAGAAGTCAGGCATGTAGTAGACGATTGCAGATTGAAAGGAGACTTTACTTCTTGTCCTTCTAGTTTGGAAAATGCATTTTGCTTCCTCTGTTAATTCCTCCACCCAGAGTTCTATTGGATCAAGAAGGAGATGGCTAAATCAGAATCTACAATGCCAGTTTGAAACCTGAACTCATAGGTCACTGGCTTCTCAAGGTTTGGAAGATCCATTTAATAATAGTCTCAGATAATTCTAGCATCTGAGCAAAATAATTAAGGGAGTCAGGATTAGTCTAGCCAATTGTTTAAGCCATGTAGCTTAAGATGGTAGCTAAGATAGTCTGCTCTCTAGTTAAATTTGATATTGTCAAATAATTATTCTGACAGCTCTGCAGATTCCATCTATGGAAGAGATTAGCTTTGTCAATTAACAGGGATTAAACATACTTCAAACTTAGGCGATAGTCTATAAAAATACTGACAGAAAGACTGGAATATTTTTTCTTTATTTTGGATAGTAGCCGTGGTGCTATTTATGTCACGATGCTTGCATTGTACAGCACCATACCTGAGAATATGTTGGATAATGTGCTTACTCAGACTACCCACCCAAAGAGGGTGCTCTACAATACCTGAAGACTAGCATTGTGTCCCCCTTGTCATAAAAATATAGTTGTCCCTCAGTAGACATGGGAAATGGCTCCAGGAACCCCCATGGATACCAAAATTCATGGATACTCTCAAGTTCCTTATATAAAATGACAGAGTATGTATGTATTCTTTTCCACTCTCAGCTTTCCACTCCCAGTATTTGTACCTATAATAATGTACCTTTAATATCTTCCTGCTTAGAAGCTACAAAGCTGGGTTAGAAAACATTGGGAAAAACAGGAAATTGTCCTCACGTGTTATAGAAAGTCAAGACAATATTTTTAACTAAAATGAAAAGTCTACACTTGGAAAAAATGTAAGATCCTACAAGCGTGTGTATGTGTGCGTGCTAGTCACTTCAGTTGTGTCCGACTCTTGCGACCCTGTGGACTATAGCCCACCAGGCTCCTCTGTCCATGAGATTCTCCAGGCAAGAATACTGGAGTGCATTGCCATGTCCTCCTCCAGGGGATCTTCCCGACCCAGGGATCAAACTTGTGTCTCTATGTCTCCTCCTTTGGCAGACAGGTTCTTTACTAGTAGCACCACCCGAAGAGACTGTATTTCTTTCTTATTTATCACGAATTCTGTATTTTAGATCAGACACAACTTATTAAGTCATATGCTAGAAAATTTAACATTTTTAAGTGCATGCTTATAACTTCTGTGATTCCAAGTAAGTATATCAGTATTCTGATCAGAGAGAGGATCAGTATTGGGTATTAAGATGCTAATGATTCTTTATTCAGCCACTAGCCACAATCATTGCATTTGCTGTTACAAAGTGAAGATGTAGATACTTGGATCTTTGAAACCTAGACTGATCCAGATAGTTACCCTTAATAGAATTAATAGACACCTGGGAATTTTTCTTTTTTTTAATCCCTTTGCCATATTTCCTGCTTGTATCCTTTGTTTGAATGATCAGATACCCATTGAAGACAGCTAAGTACCAAGTAACAGATTTCCTTACACAAAATAAATGGTTTCCCATCAATAATATAATGTTTTTTGTTTTCTCATACTTCACCTAAGTCCCCAAGAGAATTTAAGAAGTCAAATAGAATTCTATGTTAATCAAAGTATTTCTAAATGAGAAGAGAAAGATGAAGTGAAGACAAGAGGAAGGATCCTTTGCAAAATGCATGCAGCAAGTCCATCTTTCTAGCAAGTAACAAAAAATTACCAGATGCACATTTCTCAATATTCAGGAAACAAAAGGAGATTAATTTCCCAGAAATAGCACTTTGGTCCCTGATTTTACATTGAAGCAATTTTGTTTTCACCCATGACTCCTCTAAAAGAGGACAGTGCCACCAAGAACATCCTTAGATTTAGCATGGTGCTTTGAAGGGTTGCTTCTTATTATACCTCTCAAGGTCGGCCAAAATTATAATGTCCACAGCAGTTCAGTACAGATAATTTTACAGGAGCCAAAACAGTTGATTCATGATGGCAATTTGATGCTATCCTGACTTCATCCAATGACAAATTTATGACTAGGGCAATAAATGCAGTGCATATCCTTCGGCATTAAATATGTTCTAGTGCTTCTCTCTGACATTTGGGTAATTATTGAGTAGCAATAATTGATTAATAGATCTCATGCAGATATAGGATGTGACTGTAAAATGTAGAGTTATTTGCTTTAATAGTTCTCTGGCAGTCTTTGGAATTTGACAGGTTTCCCCAGAACTCAAGCCTGAAGAGAAAGTCACTAATTGCCTGCAGGTTAAACTAAATCCTCAAGAACTAATTTGGGGCAATTAATAAACTAATAGATGATCAAAGCCTTAGAGTTCAATTGTATCACATAGGACAGGGTCATATTTGTTTTAATTAGGACAAAGAAAGAAACTTTTTTTGAATGTATATAACCTTGGAAGTAAAAAAAAAAAAAAACCAAGTCTGAGGATTACCTACCCCTCACCCACATAACTTCCTAAAGAAACATCTTTTGATGATGAAACAACTACTTAGGGGACAGAATGAGCTGAGAGACTGTGAGATTACTGCAATTATTACAGTCTACTATGTGAGATTGTCAGTCGTTTAGACAGTTCAATGTTGACTTACAAGTAGGATCATATATTTTAAAAATATGGCCTTAATGTCGGTTAAATTAAAGTACATTGCTAGTAATTGGGAGAAGGCAATGGCACCCCACTCCAGTACTCTTGCCTGGAAGATCCCATGGACGGAGGAGCCTGGTAAACTGCAGTCCATGGCGTCACTAGGAGTCAGACATGACTGAGCGACTTCACTTTCACTTTTCACTTTCATGCATTGGAGAAGGAAATGGCAACCCACTCCAGTGTTCTTGCCTGGAGAATCCCAGGGACGGTGGAGCCTGGTGGGCTGCTGTCTATGAGGTCACATAGAGTCGGACACGAAGGAAGCAACTTGGCGGCGGCAGCAGCAGCCAGTAATTGATTGAGGTCCTTCCAATTTTGTTAACAGTGCTTCTGTGTCATTATGATATCTATATACAATTGCAGGTTTCTGTCATTTTTGAATGAGTTGATTTCTACTCAGAAAAATAGAAATTACCTTCTTTGCCCTACTACATGTAGTCTTTATGGTTCATCGAAAGTTCCTCCAGCTAATTTAGATTTTAGAAGCGTGATTTGGAAGCATAAGCGCTAGTGCCCTGGAGCAGTCTTATGTATGCATGCGTGCTAAGTGGCTTAAGTCATGTCTGACCCCATGGACTGTAGCCCACCAGGCTCCCCTGTCCATGGGATTCTCCAGGTGAGAATACTCAAGTGGGTTGCCATTTCCTTCTCCAAGGGATCTTCCCGACCCAAGGATCAAACCCAAGTCTCTTATATTTCCTGCAATGGCAGGTGGGTTCTTTACTACCAGTGCCGCCTGGGAAGACCCACTATAGAGAGAGAGAGAGAGAGCTCAGAACACTGTGTTTAGGATCAAAGCTATTGAGAAAGTGGGTTGGGGGAAAATTTTTATCTTTGTTTTCCTTATAGCTCTGCCATGAAGTAAAGCGTCGGAGGAAAATCAACATGAGTGAACGTGCTAAGGCCATTGATCTTGATTGTGAGAAGGCTGTTGGAGATAAAATGGAATCTTCTCCAGATCACCCCAATTCAGGACAATGTAAATTTACAGGGATACATCCCAGGGATGTTCTGGGGAAAAAAGATAAAACAGAGCAGAGTTCACTCAGGGAAAGAAATCAAGTGTGCAAGGAACAAAAAACAATCAAAAAATCAAAAGTAGGGTATATGGATTCTGAAGCCAGAGACAACCAAAAAGAACGCGAGGCCCGGCCTGACCTGAGGACTTCTGAGGCAGAGAACAAGAGCTGCTCTGGCGCCCTCAACACAGTAAGTAAGACGGGGTTGGCCTTGGACTGTTTCTAAAGAAATATTTACATTTCAAAGGGCTAACGTGCTATTGCTTATATGTATAAAGGCTCTTGAAGAACTTGCCAAAGTTAGTGAAGAATTATGCAACTTTCAAGAGGAAATTCGAAAGCGGTCTAATAACCACAGAAGGTAGGCTGGTACATCTATGATGATTTTTATGTTTAAAAATCAAGACGAATATTGTTTTAAGTTAATGAGTCGAAATTACCTTTCACATTTAACATTTTGTTAGCAAGATTTAGTAATGTTACTAAAATCTGTTATTTTAGGAGATAAAAGCTTAAATTGTACATTTCTGTGTTCATTAATTCTTAAAGTAAATCTTCTGGTTTTCTTCATAATTTGACTATTAGGTGTACTTTACTTTTTTTGATGTTTAGTTTAGTTATACTTGCCATTGTGCTCAGTCACTCAGTCGTGTCTGACTCTTTGCGACCCTAAGAACTGTATGACCAGGTTCCTCTGTCCATGGAATTTTCCAGGCAAAAATACTGGAGTGGGTTGCCATACCCTCCTCCAGGGGATCTTCCCGACCCAGGGATCAAACCCACGTCTCCTGTGCCTCCTACATTGGCAGGTGGATTCTTTCCCTCCGAGTCACCTGGAAAACCCCAACACTCACCATAATAAATAGTAAATTAACAAGTGTGTGCAATGGCATTCTTTTTGTTTTGAGTATTTGGCCAGTGGAACAGTATGCTGGGTTAACCTAGTTAAATACATCTTTAAGCTGTGTCAAATTTAACAATGTAGCATTTTAATCTTATAAAGGATGTTATGCTGAAATATTCTGAATTATTTATTTCTCTACATTTATTATGTATATAATGAAAGCATTCATAATTTTCAGAACAACATACTGTAAATACATACACACATATATCTTTACACAGTGCTGTAAAAATGCTGTTTCAGTTCAGAAACACCTATATAATTCGAAGGCCAAATTGAAAAATAAATTGGATTCTCCACAAGTTAAGTGATGGATTGCTCTAAAATCACCATTTATCTCCTTGTGGGACAGCGTACTTCTCTTAGAAGCTATAGCAATGTGAACCCTTATTTTTCTTCATCTCTTTGGAAGCTCAGAGAGAATTTTTGTACTGATTTACAACAGATCTGACTTACCCAACCATGTTTTATACATAATTTTGCCTTCTACTTTTCCCATTTAGCTTTTGCCTAGTAGGTATTCATCTGCACTTTTTTATAAGCTATCTCATAATGGAAGTTAAATAGGTATAAATGTGGTTTCTATTTATCAATATGATTAATTAATGTTAATTTGTGAACCCACAATATTGCTACATTTAGGTTTTTATTTCAGTAATTCAGAGAATTCTTACTTTCCAATTTGCTTTTACAAACCATCCCTGGTATAAAGTTCTCACTGTCACTTCATGGCCTTTAGAAAAAAAGCTCAAAATTCTTAATATGTAATTCAAAGTTATTACAATTTGACCTAGTGTTTCTCTCTTATTTGTCATCATCCTTTCCCACTCTGTTTTATATTCCATCTATACCAAATTACTCACTGTAGCTTGAGCAGCCACATGATTTTTACTGCAGCTTTTTTAAAAAAAATATGTCCTTTACTCATCAAAAAAAAAAAAAAAAAAGCTCACTTTTCTTTCTTGTCCAAATAACACCTCCCATTTGGTATTTCTCATGTCTGTGTGCTTTGATTCAGATTTCTGGAATGAAATAGAATGTTATTTCATTAATTTCTTAGAATGTTATTTCAAATTTGAGGGGCGGAGATTGAGCTCAGAAGACAGTATGAATAGGAATTCAGTAGGCCAAGCTGAGGTAAGGAAATGGCAGGAGAAAACCTATGAAAATGGGAACACCAGTAGGAGACACCCAAGAAACTACTCAAAGTGGAGTCTGAGTGTAGGTGAAGTTTCAGGTAATAGAAGAAAATAATGCAAGACAATTAAAAAGACAGTTTGGGTCAGACTATGTATATAGTTTTGAATACAACACTGAATGGTGGTCTTTATCCTACAGCAAAAGTGACTTGAAGTTTTGTACTAGGAAATTTATATAAAAATATTGTTTAAGGAAGTTGTGACTCCTTTTCCTATAATAGAATCCATTGTTTTAGGCTTAGTGTCTTTTAAGAGTTTATCATAAACAAAGTCATCACTAATATAGCATGTTTTATAATTTTTAGGATGAAGTCAGATTCTTTTCTCCAGGAAACACCAAATGTAATGAATATTCCTCGTGGAGATCACATGATCAACAACAGCCAGTGCATTCCTTCAACCAGTTTAGAAAATGAGAAAAACAGAAAAAATCTGAGCTATACCAATGTTTTCCAGAACAATTCCAAGAAAAAAGATGGAATTGATACAACTGACCTGAAAAGAAGTGAAACCCCACCAATTCCTCCTCCAAGAAGCACATCTCGAAATTTTCCCAGCTCATATTGTGCACAAGCCCGTGAAAGTTGGAAGGAATGTTTAGACCACAGCAGCTGGGTGGCCCAAGGGGGTCGAGGTGAAAAGAACAGCCACCCTCATTTCCTCTGGAAGCACGATGAGATGCCTCTGCTGGGTCTAAATGAAGGGAAGACTCTGAATGATGGTATCACGTTTCCTTCTTTGGCACCAGAAGCCAAAGTAGATAACAAGCCTTCATATAATGAAAATGTTGGACTTAGCATGTGGTCGTGCAACACTGGGGTTTGTGCAAAAAATAGCCCCTCCACACTGTGGTTTCAGAAAGTCTGCTCTACTCCCAATAAGCCAAAATATGAAAAGGTAATTCCAGATCACCCTGCTAAATCTCCTCCTGATCTTCATATAAGCAGTGACTGTGGCTCCTTAGCATCACAGAGCAGCGGCCCACTGAGAAGTTGCAGTTATGGCTTTGAAAAGACGACCGGGAATGAAAAGCTGGCAAAAAAGACTGACGAATTTAACAGAATCGTATTTCGAACAGATAGAAATTGTCATGCTGTACAACAAAGGCAGAGCTGCTCAGAACCATCTGAAGATCTTCAGCCCTGTGAGACCTTGACTGCGTGCACAGCCGGCGTCTCAGACGCTGGCAGTGTTTCTGACGTTCTGAAAACCAGTGCCCCCGTGCCCATGCCCAGGGAAAATGTGCCTGATGATTCCACCAAAAAACCCACAACAGGCCAGTTCAGACCAACCCAGGAGCCCGTAAGCCCTAGCAGTTACCGGAATATGCTTCACGAGCATGACTGGAGACCAAGTAACTTGTCTGGCCGGCCAAGGTCAGCAGACCCCAGATCAAATTATGGTGTGGTGGAAAAGCTGCTGAAGACCTATGAGACATCCACGGGGTCTGCATTGGAGAATTCTAGATGCTTCCAGGCCGACTGGACCAAATGTAGTTCTGATGTCAGTGGTGGAGCCACATTAGGTCAGCATTTCGAAAAGCTCCAAATAGAACAAGAGCTTGAGCATAAGACAGCAATGCCTGGAGCACAGCAAGTGAAGCAAGCAGTAGATCGGAAAAAGGTAACTGAGGTGAGAAAGGAATTTAACATATTTGGGTGGAGCTGCATCCATATTTAGCAGTGGCTCAGAGTTCAGTCATTTGCCCATTCATATAAACAGAGCATAGGCAGATGTTTTGACATCTTCTGGTTCTTTGACCCTTCATTTGTGAATAAATATAAACCTTAGGATTGTAATTCAGTGCAAACTTTTAAAAGTTTAGTTTTTAAGTCTGGGTTTAGCACATTACCGTTTGTATTTAAATTCTGAAATAGCAGAAAATATAATGTAAAAAATGGACTCAAGAACAAAATGATCAAATATTTGTTGTGTTTCTTTCTTGAAGAATATTCTGAATGGGAGTTTGTTCATTTATAGAATTTTATCCTACTAAAGTGTTTATATTTTTTAAAGTGTATGGAAAGTATTTTTTAAAATAACTTGTATTTTTCTGTTATTAGCTATGATTAGTTCAGTCATTCCCAGAATTTGATTTGTGTTCTTCCTCATGGGATTATTCACATGAATATGAGTTTGGTTTAAAAAAAAAAAATCATTTAAAATAGTGCCTCATAAAGTTCTCTTATTGTGGAGCTAAAAGGCAGTATATGAAAAAAAAATGATAGTATAGCATAAAAAATTTAAAGTTGTTGTTATTGGTATAAATTCTTTGTGTGGAAATTGTCCCCCCAAAATGGGTATTTAAATAAACTGTTACCTTTTTTTTATTACAGTGTGCTTGCAAAAGAGTGTAATCTTAGAGGGGAGAAAAGAGGTTAAAGAGATCTGTATTTACAATGAAGAGCTATCCATCAGTACCTTATACACATAATTTATAAAAAGTTACAAGGTGACATATTGTTATAATTAGGCAACACTTTGAAAATCCTAGTTTTACAGAGCACAGTGTGTATGCAGCATAGTTTTAAACGATGCAAGTTGCTTCCTTCTGGTGTGAGAAATTTTTATGTGGTTTTCAAGTCCTACAAAATATCAGTTTACATCCAGTTGATCAGAAGCTTTGTCTGTCTGTCCAAAGTGCAAATAACTATCCTGCTTTTGTATGTCTGTTGTTTAGTTGAGCCCATAAATACCTGTAAGGTCCTCTGGCTTCAGATGGAAGGGCATGGAAGTGGAAGCATGTGTACAATAATCAGCCAAAAATTCTCATTAACAAATGTTATTAAATATTTCCCATTTTTGCAATGATTGGAGGTTTGAGAAGGGTCCTCTACTGTAGATCCTTAAGAGCAGTTCTTATATTTGGGACACCCCTGATGGTCCAGTGGTTAAGAGTCCACCTTCCAATACAGGGGACGTGGGTCTGATATCTGGTCGGGAACTAAGATCTCACATGCCAAGGGGCTACTAACCCCAAGCGCCACAACTAGAGAGATACCTCACACATGGCAACTGAGAGCCCACTCAGCAACAAAAGACCCCACATGCCCCAATTAAGACCCAGCATAGCCAAAAGTAAATATTTTTAAAAAAGAACAAAGTTCTGTTTTAAAGTCTTTTAAAGATAACTTTGAAGCTTTTGAAAGATTGATAGTAAGAGTGGTTCTTAGTGAACAAAAAAAAGATAGCATCAGACAAATCATTTGGTGGTTTGTGTCCCTTTCATTTATGATCTCTACAAGTGTCAATAATGACATAAAGTAACTGGATGCAAATTAATTCTTCATGAATTATTATCTTTTAAAAACTGAAATATCCTAACACTCCACTAAGGATTATTTTAGTTCCATCATATCAATGTTATCTGACATAAACTTTGAGTTCTAACATAAGATTAACTTACATAGTTAGTTCTAAGAAGAAATTAGTTGTATTAAAACTTAGTATGACGAGATCCACAAGATTAGCAAATGCCATATTCATATTCAGAGTGAGTTGTTTTGATTAAAACATCCCAGACCACAAATATTAGACAAAGAGCTTCTTTAATTTTTCTTACTTGTAAACATGGTAATATATTAATCCTACAGTTGGGATCCATAATATATTAAGCTCATTGTTGGTGCCTGAATGGTGAGGTGAAGGTCTTCTTTTGTGTCTTAGGAATCCATGGCAGTGAAATCCTCCCCTGGAAAAGGATTTTCCCGACCTGCCAGACCAGCAAATCGCCGTCTCCCATCCAGATGGGCATCTAGATCTCCTTCAGCACCCCCTGCCTTGCGGAGAACTGCCCACAACTTCCCCATTCCTCTGTGATCAGAAACTTCGATGGTCTAAGTCTCTGACCTGAATTGCTAGACTACGAAAGTCCCAATTGCCAAACAGAGTATTCCAAGTGTTTACAACCAATTCTGTCTCTTCTGTATCTTTCAAGGTTACTGGGACAATTTAAACCTTAACTTCCCATCAGTCTTCAGTGTTTTTAATCTATGGAGTAATTTTCTTCATGTATTTTGATTTCCTAGATCAGAATTTTTTAATGCCATCCTCATTAATTTGCCAATATGATTTAAGTTGAAACAGTGTACTATATTGTATAGTCTGACTTTCTTGCAAGTGGCAGAAAGCAAGGTTATGTGCATGGCTATGTGTTTTGTAGGTGCATGTGTTGATATAGGAAATGTCAGTATGTATTTAGATAAGTAAAACTTATGTGCTAGTGTTGACTTTGAAATTATAACATATATACCTATATATTCTTTGTGTTTATTTAAAAATTTTTAAAATACACAGTATTATTTATATTTTTTGTACCTTTTAATAGGCATCCACTTAAGGCGTTTGAGGTACATATATTAACTAACCACTTCCTTGGCCCCAACTACATAGAAAACTAACTATACATATACCTAAGGTTAGTAGGTTTCTACAGCCAACTCATTTTCTTAACCCATGTAAGGATAGATTAATACCATTGGTCTCCTTGTTTATTCTTTTAAATATTAATAAATAAAGAGTTTAAACAGTTGAAACAGATCAGCCTTCTAAAACAAACATAAAATATCCACAAAAACTTTTATATATCATTCAGCAGTCTATTATGGCTTTCACTGTATACTTGATCCTCAGAGCTGGCCTAAGACTGCTTTATAAACAACATAACTAAGCAATTAATTTATTTTGACAACTTCAGTAACAAACATACCTTAAATATGGTTTAAAAATAAATTCAGTTAGGCTGAATTCTAATTTTGGCAAAATTTTAGTAAACTTTTTTTTCAGCATTTGGAGCAATACATATTGTGAGAGGTAAGTTATTCACTTTTTCCTTTTTTAACCTTTTCCCTGAAATTAGTAGATAAGAGACTATTTCAGATTTTTATTAACAAAATCAGGAACAATATTTCATTGAGAGCTAAATTGTATTTTTTTGTAGTGTGCTACATTCAAAAAGCCTTAATCTAACCTTTGGCATCCGTGGGTAGCATAAGGGGCAGAAACTTTTTTGGTGGTCACAATTTGCCAACAGTGAATATCCATATACTGAGAGCTGACAGTAATATGAATGTTGAGGTGCTTGGAATTCTACATGAATGATCTTAGAAGCAACTTTGCTGTCCATTGTCTCTGTATAAAGCCAACTACATTACTAGATAGTAATTCTATTTAAGCTTTTCTTTTACTACCGAAAGGTTAATGAATTCTTATGACAATGATATTCAAAGAGCCTTCTCCTTGTGATACATTCTAGCAGTTTAGAAAAATTCACTTCATCACAGTATGATTTGAGGTACAGTAGTTATTTTTTGAATCCCAGACTGCCTTAAAGGCTTAAGACTGTTGCATGGTGATGGCCAGATTCATATTTTCCAATAAGAACAGTTTCTGGGAGTTGAGCAGAATTAAACTTTTAGAACATGAGGTTGGAGCAGATGATAAGAAAGGGCTACAGATCCAGTCTTTTAATTCTTATTTGTTCCAGGAATATCCTTTTCCATAGGAAGACTGTAGGAAAAAAGTACCCTAGATATCAAGTGATGTCACTCAGATAGTATGCTTTTCATCTAAAAGGGAGAAAACACTGGGGAGGTGGGAGACTATGGCATAAGATGATGAACCTGGTAGGAAGATACTTCTGTGTAACAATGGAACACAAGCCTGCCCACGGGCCGTGAGACACAGTTACTCCTCTCCTTCACTGTATCTATCCCAGGTATCTGACGTGGGGCTGTGGTTCCTAACTTGAATTACAAGTCAAATATTGAGAGTTGTTTCTTAATTCTTGGCCTCACCCCATGATTACTAAAAGAGCATTTCCAGGGGTGGGGAGGGAATTTTGAGTCCTTAATAACACAGAACAAAACATTTGCTAATTAGGGAGATTTGGAAGCAGTGACATTCATTGATACCCTAATGGATGAGTATCATTGGATATGCATATTACTTCTCTGGGACTTCCTTATCTGTAAATTAAAAGGGCGATATTGTCACACATCACAATTTTGTGCCACTTGTTCTAACCATCTGAATGAAACAGTGGGATACATTTTAACATCTTGTGTTGACAAAAATCATAGAATGTTAGAACTGAAAAAAAAAAAAAAAACAGCATCTACGCCAACTCTTTGATTGTAAAGTTGGAAAAAAAAAAACAAGTATTATTTGAATATTCTGTCTTCTCTTTTAAATATTTTATAATTTTTTTTATGAAAAACCTATCAGTTAAATGGAAATTATCCTTGAAAATACATTTTTGATGTGACTTTTAGCCAGTAGTTTTTCTACTTTGGATGGGCATTTTCTTCCCCCAAAACTTACCTTTATTATACCATCATTACTGGATTTCAGAGGTTTATAAACATTTCAGAGGCACTTGATTAGAAGTTTTCCCTGGCAGACTTCTGAGGGGTAAAAAATCTTATATTATCTCAATAGAGTTATTGACATTGCAGATCGATCTCAGAAAGGAAAAAGAATGAAGCAGAGAAGAGTGAGTTTGAGTCTCTGTGCCTGTTTGCTTGTATGTGTGTATGTGTGTGTGTATACGTGCACAACCCTTGCCCACGCTCCCTATGTTGCTTTGTGACCAAAGCCGAGTACAAATGATGTTGTATAATTCACTTTATTGAAAATTATCCATAACTCATTTATTTTTACATAGTCAATGACATTGACCAGATATTATCATGCACAAAATATGATTACTTCTACATATGGGATTTAGCCGGTCTCCACGTCATCCTAAGGAAATATTTGGACCTAAAAAAGAGAATCTGCCCACACATAATTTTTAAAATGATTTTTAGTCACACTTGCTGACAAACAGCTACTCAGTAGTGAAATCTCCTTCAATCATTGGAAACTATCACGTAAAATAGGTGTGGAAACACTTGTGGTGGAATATGTATACATGAGGAAGAACATTTATATTCTCCTCTTTTACTGGTGAAACTCCAACTGAGAGTTTTTTAAAGTCTAAACTCAAATATGTATACAGTTCAACCTAGCTTTTCCTAAAATATCTCAAGATGGTAGTCTAAAGACCAAGCCTTCTTGAATTCCTACACCCAGTCATATGCAAACACATCTAGTTTCTCATGTATTGACACCATTTTGTGTCTATTTATCTGCTTATTAAGTCTGATTAAGTTTGTTTTTAAAAGAAATAACTCCTCTGAAACTTGCTCTTACATTATGAAATCAGTTAAATTATTTTTAGACATACACAGATTTCTTGTTATTGTTGTTTTAGTCGCTAAGTTGTGCCTGACTCTTTCAACCTCATGGACTGTAGCCCACCAGTCTCCTCTGTCCATGGGATTTCTCAGGCAAGAATGTTGTAGTGGTTGTCATGTCATTCTGCAGGGGATCTTCCCAACCCAGAGGTTGAACCTGCACCTCCTGCTTGGCAGGTGGGTTCTTTACCACTGAGTCACCCGGAAAGCCCCACAGATTTCTAATAGAGTGCTATTTCGCTTCAAATTCTGCACATTTCTTAAGTAGCAAGTATTTCATCAGAGGGACTTCCCTGCTGGCTCAGTGGTAAAGAATCCATGTGCAATCCACATGCAGGAGCTGCAGGAGATGTGGGTTTGATCCCTGGGTTGGGAAAATCCCCTGGAGGAGGGCATGCAACCCACTTCAGTATTCTTGCCTGGAGAATCTCATGGACAGAGGAGCCTGGCAGGCCACAGTCCATAGGGTCGCAAAGAGTTGGACATGACTGAAGCGACTTAGTATGCATGCACCTTTATCAGAATCTAGACCCATGACCTTCATTTTATTACAGCTCAGAAAATTTACCTTTCCAAAATGAGCTTCATAAACTAAAAAAAAAAGAAAAAAATTGCGGAAGGAGTTTTAAGCCAAGTGCCTAGCCAACATTTTTCACTGTGGAAATTCTTATAGAGGATAATCTTTGTCTCAGTGGGAAAAAAATAATAAGACTTGAAATCTGATACATATTACAATGATCTCATGAATCCAACAGGTAAGATTGGTAACTTCTGGAAAGAAAAATGGTTCTGTTTTTATGAATCTATGATGGAGTCTAGAAGTGAGAGAAAAATCTAGAGTAGGAAGGACCTTAGAAATCACACAGAGCCATCTCATCTGACTTTAAAAAGCAGGCAAGGGTGGTGCGTGTAGACTGATAGTCTCTTCTTTCCACCTTTCTTTTATTATCATCTAAAATTTTATCTAGATAAACCCATAAATAAACCATCTATAACTTCATATAATACACCATAAGAGCAAAATTAGATACCCCAGAAACTGAATGTGACATTTTTCTTCAATAAAAAACAGAAATAGGCACAACATCAAAGAGTAAGACCATGTCTAGAAGAACTTAGAAAATGACTGTATATATGAAGTAGAAAAGCATGGGGAACACCCACATTGCATCTGGGAATAGAATATATAGTCTCAGGGAAAAAGAAGTGCAGTGATATTATAACTAAAGAATGTGAAACTTAGTTTCTCTGAGCTCTGTCCTGAATGGAAAGGAGGTGGGCTGCATGGAGCAGAGGAAAAGATACTTGAGAGCAAGAGTGTCCACTGTTAATCCACTGCCATCCAGTTAAAACAAACGAAAAAGAGGCCAGGTCCTGAGAACATGAAATTTCTGGCCATAGTACCATTCCATTCTGTCTCTGGAGGAGGAGGTTCCTGCAGACTATCTGTGCTCCACAGCTCTGTGCCACAGGATCACCCAGTTTCATCAGCTCACTTTTCCCACACTCATTCAAGTACCATTCTGATTCTCAAATTAACGACTTGTCTAGAGAAATAAGAGAGTATCAAGACCGGTGTTT